CGGGGGCCGGGCTCGAACCCGCGGCCGCCGCGCAGGGCGGGCTCCGAGCCGCGCCCCGGCAGTGGCGGGCGGTCCTTCTGCGCCCGCGGGCAGAGCCCGGGGGGGGGCTCCGAGCCGGTAAGCGCCGCAGGGTTGAGGGGGAGGACGCGGGGCGGATTCCGTCCTGGAGATGGGGATTAAGGTTGTCCATCGTCCTCCCCCCTCCACCCTCCTCCTTCTCCTCCGCCCAGCTGTGTCTGGGGCCTCCCCAGATGTTGAGCAGGAAGGGGATGGATTGCAGTGGGGAAGAGCTGAGGCTGGGCATCGGGCGCGTCCTGCGAATGGGAGCAGCGGAGAGCAGCAGGCAGCCCTTAGCCTGGGCGGGTGATGGGAGAAGTGATGGGGAAAGATGTGGAGCAGGCAAGGGTAGCTGAGTTATAGCAAGAAATGAGATACAAGGGCAGGAAAAGGGAGGCTGAAAATGATTTGGCAAGTTTATATTTTCTTAGAGGATGCTGTGGAGTCTGGGCGGGTTCTGTGTAGGTAGGTGAGTCTCATAGTACAGGCATGTATGTAAAAAAAAAAAAAAAATGGTGCAAGAAGGAACAAAAGTATTCAGATTGGACAGAAGATAGAAGAATTAGCCTGATAGGACAAGGGAAACTTGTTTCAAACTAAAAGGAGGGAGGTTTAGATTGGGTATGAGAGAAAGTTTTTTGCAATATGGGCAGTGAGGCACTGGCACAGGCTGCCCAGAGAGGTGGTTGGGTGTTCCATCTCTGCAGACAGCCGAGGTCAGGCTGGATGGGCTCTGAGCACCTGATGGAGCTGTGAGTGTCCCTGTTCATTGCAGGGGAGCTGGACTAGCTTTTACGGGTCCCTTCCAACTCAAACAATTCCATAATTCTAACCTATTATTGAGGAGTGATTGGCAGGTAGCTGTGTTACACTAAGTGTGGATTATACCCTTTTCTGTACTGTGGGATGATCAGGATGTGATGTTCTCCAACATTATTGCTAGGAATCAGACTTGGGTTCTGTTGAGCCCCTTGGTCCTCATCATCCCCAGCATGAGATCTGGTGGGCCCAGAACACCTGCAGCACCCTTCACAGCCTTATGGGTATTCCCAGCATGGGAGGCAGGATGCCCAACGCTCTCTGGTGTGAGCACAGGCCTGGGAAGAGAGATGTGGTTATAGAAGGAGAGATTGGAGAGGAATGAAATAGTGACAGGACAAGGGGAAATGGTTTAGGTTAGATGTTGGGGAAAATTTTTCACTCAGAGGATGGTGAAGTACTGGAAGATGTTGCCCAGAGAAGCTGTGGAAGCACCATCCCTGGAGGTATTCAAGGCCAGGCTGGATGGGGCCCTGGGTAGCCTAATCGCACAGGTGGGAACCAATCCACGGCAGGGGGTTGAAACAAGATGGTCTTTGAGGTCCTTTTCTAGGTTTGGTTTGAAGGTAAAAATAAGTGCTAGCATCTGAGTCGTTGAGCATCTCGGGTGTTGGGAGTAGGTGTGATTTGCCTTGAAGCTAGTGGACTGGGTAAAATACCGGGGGTTTCCAGTGCCTGATTCATCCTGTTCCTTCTTTCATCATCTCATGGGTTCTGACTTTGTTTTCCAGAAAAATTCCTTGGTTCGAGAAAGGCACCATGAAAGGTGAGGAAGCTCGACAGAGGAAAAAAGAGGGCAGAACCAGGAATGGAGAGCGCCCCAGGCACAAAGCAAAGGGCAAGGGTAAACACAGAGAGAGCCGGCTTGGCAGCCAGGAAGCAGAGGATGTCTCTCTGCCTGCCCAGCAGAAGCTGTTGGCTGAGGAGAAAGCGTCCATGGCAAAATCACGGGAAGAGTCAGCTGGAGCAATCTGCCTGCAGGTGCTGCTGCCTTACCTCCTGGCTGGGCTTGGCATGGTCCTGGCAGGCATGGTGTTGGATTATGTTCAGGTAAGGGATGGAAGCTGATTTGGTGCACCTGGCATGGGGCAGGTAGGGGATTTGCTCTGGAGATATTAAGTGAAGACTGTGTGACTGTTAGGAGCAGACCTTGCCTCCCATGGCAAAGCAGTGCAGAGCTTTATAACAGCAATGAACACTGGATTATAGACAATTTACAACTGCAGCTAATACCTAGATTATAAATTGCCTTTGTGCTGTAGGTGATTCTGAGTGCTGCATGCCTTTTGCTAAACACGTGTTATCTAACCAGTGAGCTGCTGGGTCAGACTGCCCTGAGCTATGAAATGCAGTGATACTGAAACTGCTGTGCTTGTACTGACAACTTTCACAAATCTGGAGCAGTGCTCTTTTGCTATTAGCGCAGGGCTGATCTCCCTAAGCTAGAAGAGTTGTAGAGGCTTAAGGATGGTGACACAGTGCCCTCAACTGACCTTAACATGTGCTCAATAGCCTGCAGACTTCGACTCCAGAGAACACCAGGGCAAGTCGAGAACCAAGCGGAGACCTTTGGTCTCCTTAAACAAAGTAGGCATGGTGGTGATGGTTTACTAGATGATCTTAGTAAGTCTTTTCCAACCTTAGTGATTGTACGACTATCAGTCTATGACTGTTCTGAGAATTTTGAGCCTCGAGCAGCTGTTTGTCTTGCGCAGGTCTGTGACTTTCGTTTTTACTTTCCAGAGTGGTTGGACTCGCTCATTCCTTGTGGATTTTTGACATTAAATACACGTTCCCTCCCATTGTGAGACTGCAGTGAGAAACTGGAGATGGATTTATGTTTTCTTCCTTTAGAGTGATTTTGTTGTTTTTTTTCCTTAGGAAGGGCTGCACCACTAATTTAAACAGAATGTGAAACAAACCTCTTATTCCTCTGAAACCGCAGAAATCTGGTTTCTGGTTTATGCAAATAAAGAGCTCACAAGGAAGCTTCATGTCAGTTCTTAGAGCTTGGGAAATCAAAGCATGCAACATCACATTAGAAAAATAGGCCTTTGGCAGTTAGCACAGTGACTTTCCATGGATAAGTACGGACTTGGATGTGTCTCATCAGGGAATCAAAGCCTTTTCTGTGTTTTTTTTTTTTTTTTTTTTTTTTTTTTTTTTTCACCACCACCACAGCATATGGAGAGATGGGACAGGATGAGGTCCCCACCAATGAGACTGTTTCTGCTTTGGCTGCTCTGAAGCAATGCTCCTGTTGGCTGGTTCCTCAAGGTAGGGCCGGTGAGGTATTTATGTGCAGAGAAAGGCAGCAGAGCACATCCCCAGGGTTTGCTATGAAGTGTGGTACAGCCACAAGGAGCACTTTTTCCCCAGCTGGTTGCAATCTCTTCCCGGCTGCTTTGCAGCACACTTCTCAGGCACTGTGCATCTCTTTGTGGGCAAATACATTGCATCTCCTTGCCAGAAAAATGTGATACATCTCCTTCCTGGCAATAATGGCGTGGGACTTTAGCAGAGGTTCCTTAAAAGCATAGTGAAATGGTGCAGCGTACAGGCACAGGTCACCTGAACCAATTACCTGACTGTATGCTGATTCATCGGTCGAAGGCTTTTTATGGTGCTTGCTTAAAAACAGAGAGCCGAAGCGTGATAAACTCATAAACCCTGCCATATTGAAGCTTTGGAACAGGTTGTGGTTTTTAATGTCGTTTGAGTCATTTGGTCTCATTGATATTTCCTTTGAATTAGCGTTGCTGCCTGTCAGCCAATCCAGTTGGCACATATGGTGACATAAGTTATGTGTGTTATCAGACCTTTGTAAAGCCATGGCTGCTGCCCAGAGTTTGTTCTTTATTCTTCACTTCCTCAAAGTCTCCAGTTTCTAACCAGATCTGAGCCTTCTTGCCTTTGCTTCCAAGTTCCTGGCTGGCATAAAGGGATCAGGTCACATGTGGTTGCTACCGGACTTTTATTAACCTCCCTCTTCCAGCTATTGTGGACTTTTTTCAGTTAGATTAGCTGAAGTGTACTCCCTGTGTTAGCTTTCAGCTCACCAGACTATGGTTGGGTGGAAGAGGTGCACACACTTGCCAAGCTAGCGAGGTGTGGGGAAGTCTTTTGGGGCTGTCTCAAAATCCTACCAGTTTCCATTTGTGGCTTCTGTTTCCCACCCTGCTGTGCAGAGATGTGCTGTGCCATCCCAGCCCATAGGCTTGGTGCGTTGGTTTGTCATGACAGACCAAAAGAAACATGCCATCCCAGTGGCTGAGGGTATCCTTAGTTCCCTGTTTATCTACAAGGCAGGAGTATGGTTTGCTCTGTCCAACCCTGCTAATGCACTTAGCTCTGGGGACCCAGGCATGGGGCAGAGTCCGTGAGTCATTGATCTTTTACGTCTCTTTGCAGAGCATCAGGGAAGGGGGGATAATTAACACAAAATGTGTCAGTAAGGTGGTGCAATTTAAACATTGAATTTGAACTGGCCTGAGAAACTTGATCATGAACATATGCTTTCACTTGTTTGCTTTCAGTAGGGCATGGCTGGGTTTGAACCTACACTTGAATAGTGAAAAAGCTCAGTTGCCATTCTGTTAAACTCATCTGTACCCTTACATTCTAAGTTTTTTGACTTTGTGATCCAGTTAGTTTGCCCAAATTAATTATTAGAAAGGAGCACCAACAGTGCACCCTGACTACTTCCCCTCATGCTTGACTTTGAGTTGCAGCATTCGCTTCAGTTGTCACTGAGCAGGATACAAATTCCTTAGCCATATGTGGCCGTGGTGCAGCTCTGGTGCTTGGGCTTTTCAGCTGTATGACCACAGAGACTATGGGATGAGACCCCCCACTCAATGACAATATCTTCCTGGGAGCATGCAGAACAGGGGTGTTGTGCTGTAGGAAGGGAAGAGAGACCTGCTCACAGCATGCCCCGGAAACGCGCGCCCTTTCTCTGCCTTGCCTGTGGAGCAGTGAGATTACAGAGCTACCTTAAATAAGCTCTAGCTATGACTCTTATCTTGGCCTTTGCAAACTAGCAGAAAGTTGAAGTGATGACAGCAGATAAGGGTGTTCGCTTTTGAAGCTTATTGGCTGGTTCTCTGGATTTTTTTTTCTCCCTTGAAAGCCAGTCATTCAGAGGTACAGCTGGCACAGCACGATCGTTTCATCCTGCTGAGAGGCAGAGGGGACGAGGGGGGACAGGGTCTGGAAAGGCAGATCCCCTCTCCAGTCTGCTCAGCTGTGCCACTCGCCTGCGGATGGGACCTGCATGATGTTGTCAGCCCAGGAGAAACGTGGACTGGTGTTTTCCTTGACCTTCCTTCACCTTGGCGGAGAGCAAAGCGGATCTGGTTGTTAACTCCCCACCTTTTCGGCACTGGGACAGCGAGAAAAGTTCAGCGTCGCTTGTGGTGGGAGTGAGGGAAGCGGGGACGGTTTGCAGTGGGTTTGTATATTAAGCTGTCGTATCAAAGGCGAGCCGTAGGCTGACAAGAAATGTAACCTGAGGAGAAAGGACACTGGTGCGTTCGAGCACACTGAAGGATTCTTGCATGACCTGTCACTCTTTCAGTGCTGTAGACTGAGCAGGTCTTACTGGTTTTTTACCGAGGTGGTGGGAGCTGAATGGGGTGTGGGCTCATTTCTATTCGTCCACAGACATCTCTACGATCTTCTTTTATCTTTTTTAATTCCCCCCTGGATATAACTTGGAGAAATAGTGGCCATCGAGTTTGCTGCCATCTGGGCTCAGCCCAGCTGAACCAATTTTGGAGGATACCTTCGCTGCAACCCCCGGGACGTGCTCCTAGGAGGAGGAGAAGATAAAACGGTTTGGCATCGTTGTTGGAGCTTGAGGAAAAACATTGCTTTTGACTCCAGAGCGAATGACCAGGAAGATCCATGTGATGTCTTGATCTTCCCCATTTGCCCTGCTGAGCATGGGGTAGCAGTGGCTGACCATGGTGGTCACCCAGTTAGAACTGGAGCTGTGCTTTCATGGCCAGAAACTGAGAGGTTTCACCTGCAAGCTAACCAGGTCAGCCAGTGGATTTCTCCCAGAGACGTCGTTCTCCATTGCCTCCCAGATTTTCATGCCCTTCCTTCTGGCTGGCTTGGGCATGGTAGCTGCTGGGCTCTTGATGGATGTTGTCCAAGTAGGTACATGTGGTTAGGCAGCTTCAATAGAGAGGGGTGGGCAACCTTGAGTATTTGTGCTGGTTTGTTTTTAATGTGTATGGTCTTGGCAGCCAGTCAACCCAGTAGGCTTGTTCTGTGCTAGAGGGATGCTTGTCTGGGCTTCTACTAGGTCAGTCCATGGGCAACTTGCGAAGTGGGACAGTAGCATTCAGCTGGTCTGCTTTTAGGCTGGATGCTCACTGACTGTGCCCAGCTAAACCCTACAGTGATGGCTGATCAGCCTGTAGCCAATGTCCCTGTTGGGTGATATCCTTTCCTGCAAAAGTGGTTGATATGAAGATCTAAGTCAGGGGTTGTTATTAACTACCTCACTTGTGGGCAAGTTTATGCTTCCAGTTCTTCGCAAATGTAATGTGATCTTTGGTCTAGGAGGTATTTAGATACTAGGATGACAGGCATGCCGGCGTGAAGAGATAAGCGTTGCCTGCAAACAGTGCTTCTTGGCCACGTTGTGAGATGGGTGTAAATTTGGGGCCGCTTACATTGACTTCCAAGGAGTTGTGCTGAACTTACATTGCTGTGCCCACAACCAGAATCCATCTCATCCATCTTTGTACCAGTGGCACAAATAGAAATGCAAAATCTGATCTACTTTAGGCATCTAATGCCAGTGGATTTGCAAATCAAAAGGCTGGCAGAGCTTCCCAAGGATATATCCTGCAGTCTGAGTTCACTGGAGTACATTGGATTCTCTGGCATTAGTACCACAGCAGGAGCTAAATATGGACGTGGGGGTGTTTGGAAAGACAATACCTTGATGTTCTTTCTTGCACTGGAAGAAATGAAGTTGAATAAAGGAGAATATGAGGAATATCAAAGAAGGGTTAACTGGAGTGGCACAGCTGTTGCTATGCTGTGTTTGTCATCTCCACCTTGTTGTGCAGCGCTTAGGCACAGACCTGTCTTGCAGCATTACAGAAGTTCTCCAACTTCCCAACATGTTAATTGTTAGCAGTTATCTTTGGCCAGGTGTCTCAGGGAAGGATAAAGATGTAGTACAAAGCTGCTCCATACCCTTGGCAGGTGAATAGGTCTTTGTTAAAAGAAATCCAATGCCCTTGTTGAGAAGTATGCTCTGTTAAAGTTGTGACTGTATTCAAACTGATGGAAAACATAAGCCTTGTATTCCTACATTATACATCTTTTAAAATACCAGACAGCAATCTGCTTTGTGTATTTGCTTGCTAGACTCTTAGAAATGGGGTCATGCAGGAGGCACGATAATAGTAAGTGTATTTTTTTTGGTGAAGGTGTTTCCAATTAAATAGAAGCCATCAGTCGATGGATTCAGCTCCCAGAGGAGGGAGCTAGTGCTCTAAGAGTCACAGCATCGCTCTGCAGATGGCAGTGAGTGCAGGAGTTTGTGATCTGCCCATTTTCCAGGGGATGATCTGATGGAGGGATGCTTTGCACTGTGTGCATTCACTGCAGAATATTCTTAGAAAACACCTTGTCTGTGAGCAAGCTCAAAGATGGTATCTCGTGCATATGTGTGAGTTTGATGGTGCTGCCCTTGTTTTGTTACTGAGAGATACAGTGGATCTATGCTGGGAGTCAGACTAGCTCCATTTGCAAGCCAATGTTATAAGCAGTAGAGCCAAGTGGAAAACACTTATCCGTGTCAAATCTTGCAGGAATTAAGCAATTTCTGTCAAATCAAGAGGCACCAAAGCTTGGATCTGGGTCTCCCACACCATAACAAAACGGTGCCCAAAGCAATGGCCATTTGCTGTTTTCTCAGGTGAGGAGTCTGGTTGAAGTTGGACAGCCAGATTTCAAACCAGACAATCCAGGAGAAAGTTTCCATTTCATTCTCCCCTTTCACTGCCATGGGACACATCCAAACTGAAGTCACAGGCATAAGACATCCCTATTCTCTGTTGATTAAAGCCCTCGCTTGTATTTCACAATCCAGGATTTTCTGCTGTTTTGTTAGCTTGTTCAGGGCAATGGCAAACCTATGAGCTTTTGTTGCTGCTGCTGTGAGAGGATGGGTGCCCCAGGAAAGGTAACAGCATAGCTGGGACTGAGGGCAGCACAGGGACAGACCACTAGGGTTACACTGTGCCACATCACTGCTCCTCCTGTCAGCCCTGCACAGGGATGGCATGGGGACCTGCTGCTCATCCTGCATTTCTGCAGTCTCTAACACAATGCAGTCCTGGCTACTGTGGTATAAATCATCATGAATCTGTCCTCAGGCACCTAGTGAGTCACTAATGAGACTAAAATGGAAACAATTAAACCAGCTTTTTTTTTTTTTTTTTTGTAATTGGTACAGTTATGCTTTTTTTATTAGTTGTTCAAAGCCTTTTAGTGTAACTATATGTAAGGTAGCATCCCAAAAAATCATACCTCAGATGCTAAGCCTTCTGTTGCGATGACTTGAGACAAGGAAAATTCATCATTAACACAAAGACTGGAGCTTGCATTAATACAATGAAGTCGTGTTGCCTGAAAGTGACCCGTGCATAAAATACAAAGAGTTGAGTTTGTGTCTTTCTTACTTATGTATCTTTTTATGTGCAAAGTATACAACAGATGTCCACATGTTTGTGTATTTTAAGTGATTGGGCTTCTTTGCATTGTGGCTGTGAGCTGTTTGCTCTCCTTTCTTTCAAAAATGTCAAAGGTGTGTTTAGATCTTTCTTTATTCCTGATGAGAGAGATAGGAGTGAGGGGAATTTGTGTCTTTAAGAGATGTCCATCCCTTCTCTCAGGTATTTAAGTACCATGTTAACAAATTCAAACCAAAGTGTCAGGTAAGGTATCTCTTGTTGTGTTGTCTGTTATTTACTTTTCACATTTTGAAATGCTACTTTCCAGGTCACCACCGCCAGGAAATGTGTATCTGTAACAATGTTCCCCTCTTATCTGCACCCCTGAGGGCTGTCTTGCATCACATGTTTGGGGCTGGCTCAGCCCCTCTTTCATTCCTATTGACTCGAAGGATGTTGTTAAGTGTTCCCAGCAGGCAGCCACACCATTGCTTCCCACAGCTTCCCCTGGCACAGTCCAAGCAAAACACTGCATGTCCTTATGCCCTGAGTACATTTCCCAACAGCCTGATGGGGGGAATGTGTTGACATTTGTTGGGTCTGTCCCATCTCCAGGGGTGGGAAGGGATGTGAAAAAGGTGAGCTGAGATCTGTTGTTGGCATTATTTGTCCTTTGGCATCAGAATTCAGTATCTTTGTATGAAACCAGCCAGTGACAAATCCAGAATAATGAATGGATGAAAGGATGTGATCTTTTGCATAATGTGTAGCTAAGCCACAGGATGACATAGGGGCTGGAGGGGTGGGATTAGATGAGTACCAAAATGAGAAATCATAGAATCATAGAATTGAGGTTGGAAAGACCAAGATCATTGAGTGCAACCATCAGCCCTTTACCACCATGCCACTTGATCACAGCACTCAATGCAGCAATCCTTCTAGTGCTGCTGATGGCACAGAAGCCCCCCCAGCTCAGGATGCTACAGCAGATCAGATGTTTTGTATGTCTGAATTTGACTGCTGTTGGAGATAAGGATAGGTCAGGTGGGTGTTCAGTCTCAATCAATGCAGCTGCCCTTTTTCTCTTGTATTTCTGTCTTAGATGTTGGGCTGGTTGGTTTTGCTTCATACTGAGCAGCTCTGTTCTGCAGTCCCATCCCAATGTGAGCTTTGGCAACAGTGTGACTTTGCAGCATTCTTGAATGCACAGGGAGTAAATGAACTCTACTGAAAGGCACTGCATGGTAGATGTGCTAGAGAAGATGTATGTTAATCAAAAGAATTTCTTAAGGTTTCCGATCATCTCTGGTGTTGCAGCTGATTCAGGAGTTTGTATAGTTCTGCTTCAGAGAAAGAATGATTATCCAATGGTTTGGGATTACAGGATATCTTAATTCAAAATCCTCTTTCCAGCTATGCTGAGAGTGTGCGTGTAACAGGAAGATTTAGGAACTGCCAGTGGAGAAGAGATGCAAAAAAGACTTTCACTCCCACCAGCGGCCTTAGATGCTTAGTGAGAGATTTGGTAAGGAAAGGCAGACGTGGCTTCTTGCTGTCAGATCATTTCCAGGTCTGTGTTTGTTCTCATGAATCTGGATAGCAACAGGCATTACTAGTGAATCTCATGTCAGTACGAAGGATGGAGGGCATGCTGTGTTTTGTTTGGCTTGTGAACCTTCATTATTTTTCATGTTGTTCCTGGCTAATGTTATAAAGGCACTTTTTAAATGTGGGGCTTTCCAAAATCTGCTGCTTCCCCCACGAAGGAGTTTCCTACCCTGTCAGGAGACATGAGGGCTGTGCATGAGATCAGAAAGAACGCTGAAAATTGCTTCTTTCACTTCCAGAATGCAACGTCTGCCCAGATGTGCAGAGCAGACACCTATAGGGCATGCAGTGAGATGGGAACCCACTCCCCTTTGAAACAGCACCGAAGTTGTCTGTATAACTGAGGTTGTTTCTATCCCTTTCTAGCACTGGGAGGTGTTTCGGACAATTACAGAAGTTTTTATCCTGGTTCCTGCCTTGGTTGGCCTGAAGGGTAATCTCGAGATGACATTGGCATCCAGGCTCTCTACTGCTGTGAGTGCTCACAAGGTGGTGGGTGGTGGTGGCTGGGGAGGAAGAACAGTCATCAGGAGGTGCTGCTTTTATGTAACACATTGTGTGTGAGACAAGCCAACGTTTGCAAAGTAGAAACCAGTGATGTTAAAATAATAATTTGCCCTCATTTTGTAAATGGAACGTAGAATTTCTGTCTGCTTTGAAGGTGAATTAATCCCTGTGTGGCCAGTTGCTGATATCTGGATCCTTGTGACACATAAATGAGATAGAGCCAGAGATCCACCGTTGTCAGCTTTGGGATTTGGTTGCTTTTGTAGTGACCTGGACAGGATAAAACCGCCTTCAGCAGCCACCTGTACCCCAGGGATGGGTTTTCAGAGTGTATCTCTTGACTCCTAGGCTAACACTGGACAGATGGATGATGCTCAGAAGCAGTGGAAAATGGCCACCTGCAATTTAGCCCTTATCCAGGTGAGTCACTAAAGCTGGGAGAGGAAGAAAGCCTTTTTTGATTGTTGTGTCATGGTCTGACAGCATCTGTACCCATCAGTTCTGAGTCTGGAGCTGTTGATTTGGGGCAGATATTCTCAACAGAACCCAGTAGAGCCTGGGACTTGGCCTCCAATAAAACTCTGTATATCCCTGGAGCTTGTGATTCAGAGGCAAAACAGATCCAGACACGCGTTGCCTTTGTGGACAAACTGGAATAATGAAAAACCTCCTTTTGTAGGGAGAGCTGCGGCACAGTCCCTGTTTCACAGCAGCCCCTGGATAAAGCGTGTCGTTTCCAGGCAGTGTTTGGGAGTCAGCCTTGGGCAGGAGGGGAGAGATGAGAGAAACAAGCTCTTTCTGCTTATTTCAATCCAGCAACCAGCCCGGAAGGTTTCACGTGGAAGGCCAGAGTGCTTGCAGCATGCGTCTGTGTGCTTTCTCTTATCTCCTTCCACAGCTTTCAGCTTGCTGGGAGTGCTGTGTTGATGAGGAGCCCATTTCTGTGCTGACCAGAGCTATTCCTCTGCTGACGGACTCAGTGTCCTTTGCTGAAGTGTTATCTGTCCTTTACAGTCCTGCACCGTTTTTCTCCAAACTTCGTCAGGATTCTTTCTGAGTGTAGCAGAGCCTCACAGGGATGCTGCTTAAATACACAGGCAGTCAGCATTTCTGCAAGATTTTATGTGCCCTCCTGGCTGTGCAGAAACGCTGCGGTCACACAGAGGTGGGCAGCAGATACAGCTGATTGCTCACCAGTTGTCCTTTGGCCTCCAGGTCCAGGCCACGGTGGTGGGACTCCTGGCTGCTGTTGCTGCCGTCATCCTGGGAGCCATCTCCAAGGGCTCTGTAGAGCTGAGCCAGGCAGCCGTGCTGTGTGCCAGCAGTGTGACCACGGCCTTCATCGCTGCACTTTCTCTCGGTGAGTCATTTTGGTTTCTCACATCCAACATGGTGCGGAAAATCTGTCCTATCTGTCCCGCTGGCTCGGCTGCAATCTGTGTTCTATCTGGCATGGGGATGAGGTGTGTGTGGAGCATTAGTCCCATGCCCATTGCTTTTAATTCTTCCGCACCCTGTCCTCGCTTCTCATCTCCTGGGATCTATTTGCTGGGCTCTTGGCCTCCACAGCAGCAATGTTACCTGATAGGCACAAAACCACAATATGTGTATATAAATATGTACTGGCAAGTTGGGAATTGGGCTCTTCTCCTGGTTAACAGCAATAGAACAAGAGGGAACGGCCTTAAGTTGCACTAGGGGAGGTTCAGGTTGGATATTACTTATCCAGAAGTATGGTGAGGTATTGGAACAGGCTGCCTAGGGAGTGATGGAGTCACTGTCCTGGAGGTGTTCAGGATCCGTGTGGACATGGCACTGAGGGACGTGGTTCAGTGGGCAATATTGGTGGTAGGAGGATGGTTGGACTGGATGATCTTGGAGGTCTTTTCCAACCTTAATGATTCTGTGATTCTGTGGGCGGGTGAACTCACATGCACATGCTGTCTCTGGTTTTAGTGGCGTGTTAGCCATCTGCACTGTGCTTTTCAGAGGGGGGATATGCTAATGCTGCGCACAAAGCTGAATATTGAGACAGTTTGCTAGCAAACAGCTCCAGACCATGCTCAGGATGGGCAGCATAGGGTTGTGGCTGCCCCTGTGCCTCTGAACCTTGGCTGACCCTGCCTGTAGAGTGGGCTGGATGGGGAGGAGCTGCTCTGATCGTTGAAGATCAGCTCTGATCATTTTGAGGGTCTGCCATGTGAGGGCAGCATGACACTCTGAATGGAGGGAACTAGCAGGTTGGGTACCATGCGTTTTCCGAGGGAAAGGGACAAATAGTGCAAGTGCACGTGCTGGAGAGGGTGTCAAAGGGTGATTGTAGATGCTTTTAATGAGGAACACTGCATGAGGCAGTCGTTACAAACAGCTAGCATTAGTCTGCACTCTGGACTTGGTCACAGTATGGGTGTGTATGATGGGAAGCTGGTGGGTCTGTGGCCAGGGAGGGATGGAAGCATTGAAGACCAGGTTGGATGGGGCCCTGGGCAGCCTGATCTGGGGGTGGCAACCAGCCCACGGCAGGGGGTTGGAACTAAATGATCTTTAAGATCTTCTCCAACATAAGCCATTCTGTGCACCAGAGGCTGTGGGCTGTGAGGGCTCAGTCTGATGGCTGGACTGAAAGGCTGAGTCAGGCTTTTCATTAACTTAAGAAAGCTTGCTTCTCTTTGGTGGCGTGGTTGAAACTCTCCAAAATGATGGTCTAATATGGAAAATATATTTGTGCTGTGGAATCCTGAGCAGGAGATGGCACCAGGAGACTGCTGCGTGCCTGCTGTGTGCTTATCTGTGAGTCTGCTTTGTGCCTGGTCCTGCTTCAAGGCAGCAGAGATTAGGCTACTCAGGAGAGGAGCTGCTCATTTGAGCTGCCTGCTAGTATCTCCTTTGATCCCTGGAATTTGCCTGTGTGCCTGTGGGCCTTTGGTGAACTTCATAAGGGCAGAGTGATGCCCTTCAGACCGTTGAAAGCAAGAAGATGAATTCCTGGCTATAGCTGCACAGTACGACTATGGGCAATCTGCTGCTTGCTTTTTCCAAACCCCATGTCCCTCTGGGAGCCAGAATAGCAGTTCCAGGGTGAAAGACAGCAGGTTGCTCCCTCTGATGCCTGCTCTTTGTCTTTTCTAGGTCTGGTGATGATTGGCGTGATCATCGGAGCCAGGAAAGTTGGGATCAACCCGGACAACATCGCCACACCCATAGCAGCAAGCCTTGGAGACCTGATAACCCTTTCCCTGCTGGCAGGAATCAGCAGTACGCTCTTCAAGTACATAGGTACTGAGTCCTTGCTGAATTATTGGAGGGTACTCAGCCATTTCGTGTTTCAGAGTGAAGGTTCTTATGCCACGGGTGAGAAAATGACCACAAACATTTTTTCAAGGCACTCTTTCAGTTGTGAACTGGAAGGCAGAGATGAAGAGACACAACTGGGAATTCTCAAAGATATGACCAACGTTTATTGTATTGCTTTCGAGCAGGAGGTTGACGTGTGTGACATTGACTTTTCCTGCATCTATCACAAGTCCAGCATAACTGCTTTCTGCGTGGCTTGTAGCAAGCCCTTCCTCACAAAGCTACTTCAGGGTCTTGGTATTTGTAAGAATATTTTCCTATCTTATGTGGAGAGTCATGGGTGAATGAGGTAATGCCATGTTGGATTTGGGGAGATCGTGTCATTCTCCCAGGACTCTATAGGAGTTGTGGCTGTGAGGCTGGCTGTGCTGATATTTGGCAGAGTCTTGGGCACCTGTTGTTGCTGAAAAACTCAAAACATGTTGCAGCTTGGTAATATGTGCTTGTAAAGTGCTCAGCTATTTACCGTGAGCATAACCTAGAAGAGGAACAGGAAAATAAAAAGATCCAGCAAGCTTGATACCATTTGAAATCTAAACTGTTGCTTCAGCCTCTGAGCAGAAGCAGCACAGCAGCTGTTCCCAGTTTGCATAACTCCTTCCATGTGCCACTGAGTGAGGGAGCACACATTGCAGGGAGAGGCCCATGGATCACTTCCACCCAGCTCTCCTTAAGCTTCAGAGGTGCACTTTTTTTATTAGGGTTTTTCCATGATGCCATCACACTGCCCTGTGAGGTTAATTTGTCTTTCCATCGCTGTGCTTCTGATAATATCTCTCACGGAGCACATGGCAGAACAACACAATAACCTCTGTGGCTGTGACCAGGGAAGCGCCTCTGATGTTTTCAGAGTAGTTTAAATAGTTTTCAGCCTCTTGATACGAGTAATACAGTGCACACAGACACCTGGCTGTTGAGAGCAGGAAGGGAGGCAGGTAGAAGGGAGGCAGCATTGTTGGCAGTTGAATAAATCCATTTCCCTCCCCAGTGTGTAGTAATTAATTGTTCCACACTATAAGAGTGGGGTAGGAGACCCAGCACAGCAGCTAAATGTCCTACAACCCATCCATCCTAAATGACTCCAGGTGTGTAAGTGCACTGACAGGACAGCGGCCAGAAGTGGTTGCATTTCAGCGCTGACCAAAGCCACATTTAAAGAGCACATCTCTTTATGTAAGAGCCCTTGATCTGGGGAAGATATCATCAAATCAATGCTGCTCAGGTAGCCCAAGGCCCTGGCAGTGTCGTTTTGAAAAATGCACGCTTAGAGCCTGCAGTCTCCCAGATTACCTGCAAAGTCTGTGTTACAGCCTGCTGGCATTGGCCCCGGCACAGAGACCAGATGGAGAGCTTTGTTGAAGAAACATTTTTATATCAAAAGGTTTGGCATCATCCCCATTGCTTGAAGGTGTTTTCTCATGCTTCTGAGTCATGTTTATTTTCTTTTAGTGCTGCACACACATTTATTTTTTAATTCATTTGCTTCTAAAGGTCACTCCAAGGTTATGGCCCTACTGAATGGAAAAAGCTCCTAATGAAAGCATGTGTAAGCTAGAATGAAATAAACCCTGGACTTTAATTGGCTTATACATTCAAGAGAGCATTTGTCCCCATAAAGCAGGCCAGCTGCTTGCTGAGAGTGCTAGCTTATCATCAAAGGTATCTATTAGTTCTTGTTTTAGGTGAAGGCATGAGCTGTCTTAAATGTGGTACAGCTTGCACACAGGGGAGACCTCTCCTCGCCCTGCTGTTTGAATTGTACCCTGAAGCCAGAAAGCTTGTAACTTTTTGTCTTGCTTAGTTAGAGATGAGGTTGGAGACTTGCTCATCTTCAAACGTAGTTTGCTTTGAATCCTGCTGATTTTCAAATAACATCCTCTAGCAGTAGTTTCAGAGGTTAATTATGGATTTCTGTGGTGTAGTGAAGTGGTCATGTGGGGGGCATCTTAGTTCACGTGATTTTTCTGTTAACATTTCTCAGTCTGAGCCAGAGCCCTGCTGCCTTTCTTCCAGACTTTACTCAATACGATTTTGGCAACCTGTGAAGCCAGGAGTGTTTGATTCAAGATCTCTTTTCCTTGCCAGATATGAAATACCTTTCACCTCTGATCTGTGCTGTCTTCATTATCATGATCCCTCTGTGGGTTGCTATTGCCAAGCAAAGTCCTTCCCTTGCTGAAGTTTTGAAGTCTGGATGGCAGCCTGTCATTGTTGCAATGAGCATCAGCAGGTAAGGCAACAAACTGCTTGCCCAAACTCACACGAGTGGGCATGCTGCAGGGAGATCCCATGCTCATGTAGAAAGTCATAGAAAGGAAAACTGGAGGGAACAGCAGAAGGTTATTTATCCAGTGCTTCTCAGCCATTGTTGGCCCTCCAGCAGGCTGTTAGAATGAAGGTACGGAGCTCCCAGATGACTGTGAGTCATCAGTTTAAATTGCACTCATGCATTCACACATCATGTGTTCCAGCCGGGAAACCTAAAAGCTTGATGATGACCATCGCAAACAGTCAGACTTCAGCCTCATCTTTATCCAGCTGTAAATGAAGACTGGTTCATTCCCCCCATGCTACATCATTCAGACCCAGCTGAGATCTGAGATGGTTTTAAAACCTGCTAAGATCAGTAAGAGGTTTAGCAGAAGTTTGGCAAGGATGATAAAGCTTCCCTGGCTAGTATCGGTTTTGCTCAAGGAGAGGTTCCTGATCTCCTTATGCCATGAACAAAAAATGCAAGGCTATCTATCAGTAAAAACAGATGTAAAAGGAGTAAATATCTGCTACAGGGAATGTTCCAGCACTGGCAATGGGGAGGAAGCAGTAACTCACCTCTGTGTGCTGTTTTCACACCATAGCAATTGCCCTGGGGAAGAGACTGATCCACCTCCTTTGCCTGTCCTTTTTTAACAGCATTGGTGGGCTCATCTTGGACAAAACTGTAACTGACCCAAACTTTGAAGGCATGGCAGTTTTCACACCTGTGATTAATGGTAGGTTGGACATTATAAACATAAAATATATGCATGTTTTTATTTATTCCTCCCTCTTCTTAAGGGTTATGCTATCCACTGTTGACCCTACACAGAGGTCCGTGTTCAAGTCCCTCTCCCATCACCAGTGGAAGTGAAGCTACTGGTCCCCATTACATCCCTACTTATTTGTATTTTGAATTGTCTCTGGTGCAAAATAGCAGGCAGGTCTGAAAAATGATAGAGCTGTTGAAAAGATTAACAGCATCTGATGGGTATCTGTGATAGCAGTGCTGACACCTTCACTTTCATAATATCATACCTGCTACGGATGTCACAATAAATCTATTTACTATGTCTCTCTCCACTCAGCAATTTGAGCTGTGCAATCATCGCTATTACAGGTTGTTGATAAAGATTAATATATTAAAATTATAGATGTGTGTGTGTATGTATACAAGATGATATATATAGATTATATATTTTGTATATATAAAAGTATATTTGGGGTGTATATTTATATTTGTATGAAGCCTCACAATTCTCTTACACAAACATGAATGCATAACTATAAACTACCAGGGATCCTGGCCTCTCAGAGGATCCACTGGGTTGTTTTTCTGCCATTACAATATTTCTTGTAGACCCATTTCAGGGAAAACCCACGTTCCTAGGGAAGGCTTGGCCTTGTGCCACTGCCAAAGCACGGTGTCCTCTTGCAATGTCAGAGGGTGTCACCCAGCTGTCACCTTCTGGATCTGCATGAAGACAGATGCCTTGCTGACAATCTCTTTCCAGCATGGTTAGCCAAAGAGCTTGATTAAGAAAGTACGTCAACAGCAGTTCTGCTGAACAATGGCTGACCCAGACACCAGTGTGTGGGGTTGGGTGGACTGTTTGGCAGAGCTGCTCTCAGTTACGTGGTGCTCTGTGTTTTTGTACAGGTAGTTCTGTGCTTTCCATGTGTAGGGGAATCCTGCAAAGTGTATTTCAGAAAGCTCCCGTCCTTCAATTCCACTCAGGTCAATCTCACATTTAACAGTGGGGTATTTCCTTCTGCAAGGCAGGGAAATTGTGAGAGGCCTGTAGAATCTGGCTCACTGTTAATTTTCTTTGTCATTTCTACCCTGCACACACTCAGGGTGGTGGAGATTTGCTCCACAGATCATCAGCCCCCTATTTTCCACTGGAAAAATACAGCAGCATTTTCACGTTTGCTGGAATTAATCAATCTGGAAGGAATTAATTGCCTTTTAATTACCTAACATATTTGGGCTCTGATTCATTCTCATATGATTTCTTCTCATTTGACAAGTGTGTCGGATGCCTTTAGACAGACACATAATCATTCTCCATGTTTGTTATCTTTTAAACAATAATGGTTCTCTGGCTGGTGACCATGAGTGGCAGCTGCCACTGCCTGCACTGCTTTCCCCAGGTGTTGCTCACAGACTGCATCAAACCAGGTGCAATTGCATCATCTTCAGAAGCCATGTTGCATCTGCTGCTGGTGCTGGGAAGTCAGGGGAAATGTTTCCAATAAAGCATTTAGAAGGAGATGGTCACTGGAGCCTTCTTTATTTTCAAAAGCTGTTCCTGTCAGGTGAATATCACAGCATCACCATGACAAGTGGGATCAGATTTTCCCCTTCTCTCACTGCTGTCCTCAGACAGTTTGTAAGTGAATGACACATCTTGGGCTAAGTTTGAGACTGGATTTCCTGCTGCAGTACAGGTGGCTTACAGGTTTACTGTTTTGTCCTCATAGGTGTTGGAGGGAATCTGGTCGCCATCCAGGCCAGCCGTATTTCCACATTCCTACATTTCTGGAGCATGCCTGGAGTTTTGCCATACAAGATGAGGCAGAATTGGCCCAATCCATGCACCACATTCTTCTCATCAGGTAGACCTTGAAACCTAGGTGTCCATGTCTCAAGGCCCGTCATCACAGATAGCTCCTTTATCCAGCCTGGTTGGAGAAGGACTAGGTGGGTTTCAAAGGCAGAACTCCCTTTCTCCCTTTCAGGGAAGGTCCTCAGATTGAAGAGCAACATCTGTGCAGTGGGAGCTTGGAGAAAAAAAAAAAAAAAGCTTTTCTGTGTACTTAGAGTCATGGAGTCATTAAGGTTGGAAAAGACTTCAAAGGTCATCAAGTCCAACCATTAATCTGTCAACCCATACTTGCTCCTTAACACGTAAGAAACTGCTCTTCAGGGAGCACTTAAAGTAATTGAAAAGGAGTCCCAGAAGGTTGTTTTACCCATGGCCAGCCTAGAGCCATCAAGTGTGGAAAGGGGAGCGAATAGAGCATAACTTTGCTGAAAATCAACAATTCCTCCATTTTCAGTAATGATTAAACATAAACATCAGCAAAAGTGGATTTCAGTCAGTTGTCCTTTCAGATTTCAGGTTCCCCTTGATTTTCCCTGCTAGGTTGGGAGTTATTGCTGGAGCAGACTAAAAACAGGGGGAAGTGGGCTGCAGCAAAACAGAGCAGGATCAGTGGGAGGCAGAGAGCTGCTGAAGAGGAGTGAAAGATGCGAGTGAGAGGATCAGCATGGAGCATGTCTTTGGCACAGTTTTTAGTGACAGACAGAACTGCTGGGTTGATGCTGCAGATGCTCTAAATTGCTGCAAAGGCATCTGCAATGTGTCTGGTGGGAGGGGACAGCCCTAACTCTGCCTATCAGCACTACATCAAGCAGCCGTGTTCTGTCCTCTCCCCACCACCTGCAGCCGCTGCGATCACTGTTTCTGTCTGTCCTCTGCAGAGGTGAATTCCAAGTCAGCCCGAGTCCTGTTCCTCCTGGTTGTCCCAGGGCACCTCGTGTTCCTCTACACCATCCACCTGCTGCAAGGAGGCCACACATCTCTGTCCTTCACCTTTGTGATGTTTTATCTCACTGCTGCTTTGTTGCAGGTAAGCCCCAAACTCTCATCCGAAAAAATACCACAAAACAAAATATTCTTAGCTGGACAGGCTGACAGGCTGCTAGCAATGACCCCACTTCCATTCATTTTAGGCATAGCATCCTCTATCTTCTGTACATCCAATAATACTTCACCCAGATTGCAAAGGTCTCACTTTCCAATAGGTGTGCAACTACCTTTAAGTGAGAGATTAGAGATGAGATGAGGAACAAATTACCATCATAAGCTGAGCTGCATTAAGTAGGGAAACATTGCGAGCAGGTACCTCTTGCTGTACGTTGTATCTTTTTAACCATACTCACTCCTTGAGTTTCTAAGCCCCAGTTATTCCTAGGCTGTGACTGGTCATCCCACTAAGGAGCAATTGGGAGGCTATGAGCCCCCGCCAGCAGGTTTCCTCACTCATTTTGAAACCAGCTTTACAAACTGCAGTAAAGACACGGGGATCCCTTTGGACAGGGCCAAATATGTCAGTAGGGAAGGGAAGGCCCAGCCCTGGGAAGCTCATCTCTGAAAGCGAAGGTTCTGGGTCAGCAATGGACAGTTATCCAATTTGTTCTGCCTGTTCCCTTTCACTGTTTTCACTGCTCTGTAAACTTTGCCATCTCGTTCAGAAATGCATGTGCGTGTCACAGAGGCTCTGGCTTTGCTTGCCCTTTTAAATCAGTGATTCATTAGGTTGCAGGGCGAGGTAACTGGCTTCTTGCTTTGCCTTACAAACAGTTGTGTGTCCACGGGTAAATTCCTTGCATATGTAAACAATCGGCTTTTCTTGACCTTTGCACAACCCTAAGCCCGGCACCACAGCTGTAGTTGCAAAGGAAAATATTTATTCTTTTCTTTATTCACTGAGGTAACTCCTCAACCAAAGCCAAGTGTGAAAATAGGCTGAATAAATGACAGAGTAAAGAGCAGAATCCCAGCAACGCCACTGACCCAGGAAGACTCCCAGGGAGTCCAGAATGTGCTCAGCCTGGTTCATTCTTTCTCTCCATTAGAATTTATAAATGCAACCAGAAAGAATGAAGGGGGGAAGTTTGGGTCAACTGGAGGAAGCCCAGAGAGAAACATCAGAGGCCTAGAAAATATGACCTTAGAATTGAATGGAGTGGGGTTAGCTAGTCTAAGGAAGAGAAGCTTTTGAAAAACCTGGTAACAGCATTTGTTTAAACTGCTGAGTTTCTGTAGGAAGAGACAGATTAATGTTTTCTCTATGGTCACTAGGAACGAAACATGGCATTGTGGGTTTCAAATGGAAGGGGGGCTATATAACACCCTTTAGTTTTTATCCAGCTTTAGTTTCTGTGATTCTGCTTATTTAATTTGCACCCTCTGTCTCTCCTGCCACCTTTCCCTTAGAACTGCCATCTCTGCCTTTGGTTCCTATTCGGTTGTGGTCTCCTATGGAGGGACCACAGAAGCAGAGAGCAAACTCTCTCTCTCCCGTCTTAATTCAATTAACTAGACAGTCTTTAATCTTTAAGAGAAGTATTTTTTTTCCTCCATCTGTTTATCAGAATCAGGAGCTAAATAGGAATTAAAAGAAATCACAGCAAAGATTTTGAAATTGTTGAGATGAAAAATAGAAATGTTTTTCTCTTTTTAACGTGTCAGTGCTGCTTGGAATAACTTTGATGTAAAAACTGCCTCAAACTCCCGTTGTCTACTGAGATTAGGCAAAACAAAGTAGATGAGATCTGAATTTCTAATGGAAAAAAAAAAAAAAAGGAAGATGAGGAGAAAAGAATCTGGCCACAAACTTACACTTTGAGTTTGCATGCGTATTTGCAGCAGTCCTGTTCCTGCTGGATTGAATAGGAGCATTCATGGTATGGGAAGTGGGAGTTGAGAGATGCTTTTGGTGTTGACAAACTTCTGTTTTTGGCCCATGCTGACGAACAGTTGACTTGTGGTCCTTGCACCAGGACAGCTGGTGCCCAAGGGCCATGCAGTGCCCAGGGGCATGGGCCAGTAGGGTTTGCAGGGATGCAAAAGCCAACTATACCCATATGATGCAACTCCATCCTGCAGAGAAACACTGATCCTCTGATGAGGTGGAGACATCTTAGAGATGCTCATTAGCTCTGGCACATTGGCTGTGGTCGTGTCATTTTGACCATGGCCACAACATTTTGCCGGTGAGCTGATGGAGGCTGTGCATTGTTTTCTTGTTACTCACAGTAGTGCCTGTGTTGCCTCTTCAGGTGGGAATCCTGCTCTACGTAGCCGAGCTCATTGTGCGCTTGATGTGGAGGAAGGCTTTGGATCCTGATAATTTCTCCATCCCCTACCTCACTGCCCTGGGGGATCTCCTGGGCACTGGATTCCTTGCTGTCTGTTTCCGTCTGGTTTGGCTCATTCACGGTGCAGACATGAACCTGGGCAACTGAAGGACTGCGTGCTGCTCCATGTTACTGATTCGACACGGCACAATTCTCTGGGACATTGGAGGCTGGGTTGGACCCCACCGCCCTGCCTCTCCTCCCCATCGTGCCTTAAGCTGGGCTTGCTCGTCCGGAGGAGTCAGCACCCCCAGACTTTGTACCATTGCACGTGAGCAAGCTGGTTTTAAGCAGCACCCACTGCTCACACCAGCACCCCCAGCCAGTGCAGCATTAAGGAGAATTTGGTGCCATATAGTGATGAGCATTTTGATTGGCTTCAGTCCCCAGCACCAAAACAGCCTGCAAGGCCCCTTTTAAGCCTGCTGAATTGGGTGCATCTGATCCTGTGAGTCCATGTCACATCTCCGTCCAAATTTCATTCACAGTCCAAATAGTTCATTCACCCTTTTTCTCTCCCTGGAGGAGGAGAGCATCCTGGTGTTTAAACTTTTCCCTTCTTCATCACTCAGACGTATGGACTTTGAGCCCTGCTGGTTCCTGGTGGGAGGATACAGAGACAGCACCTACCTGTGCAGCACCATTGCTGCTGTCTGACCAGCTCGATTGATTGTGTTTTGGGAGCAGGAGCTTTGGGTTTGTACGGTTTATGAAATGTCCATTAATTAAAATGTTTATTAGTTAAAATGTTTATAGAAACGCTCACACACACAAATAAAGTGGTTAAAAAATGCCATGTAGTGGATTTAGGGCTGTTTTTTGCCTTGCTGTGGCTCTTTGTAGTTCAGACTTGGCAGGTGGAACTTTCAGTATCTAAAAGAGAGCTATAAGAAAAAAGGGGGCAGACTCTTTAGCAGGGTCTGATAGGACAAGGTAAATGGTTTCAGACTAAATGAGGGGACATTTAGATGGATGTAAGAAAAAGTCTTTTGCAGTGAGGCACTGACACAGTGGTGGATGTCCCATCCATGGAGATGCTCAAGATCAGACTGGAGGGGCTCTGAGCACCTGATAGAGCTGTAGGTGTCCATGTGCATTGCAGGGATTTGACCAGATGGTCTTCAAAGGTCCCTTCCAACTCCAATGGTTGTATGACTCTATGAATTTCTTGTTTGCTGCTATCTCTTCCAGTCAGTGTTGGACAACACAATTCTAATAGGACTTCAGCAAAATCGGTGTTTCCTAACCAATGATGGACTTTGGCAGCCCATGTTTCAGGTTAGAATTAAAGCTTATTCTCTCTCTACCCTCGCCATCCATCCTTTGCACAATGAATTTGGGATCTGTGTGTGTGTATAAGGATGGGAATTTGGCTAAGGACTCTGCATCCTCACTGCAGGGTGTCTATTGTGTGTTCCCAGCAATGTTCTGGGGTGGCCCATGGGGCTGAGGGCAGTCAATTCTCACTGAAATTGAATACGTATTTTAATAACTTGAGGTTAGCACTTTATTTTGTGCACCCTTGATTACCTTCAATCTGGTGCTGGTTGGAGCAGTCCTGCCAAATGACTTCTCCTGCCCCATCTTTGTCTTCCCCACTCTGCTGCCTGTCCCTGCTGCTTTGAGAGGTTCCCTCTGGCCTTGATGCTTTTGCAGCGGACGTGAATAGGGCAAGGCTGGGCTGCAGATCCTCCCAGCCCTCTGCAGGCTCTCAGGCACTCTCCTTTAACAGCACAGCTTTGCCCATGCCCCCTCCAGTCCTTCAAATGCCCCCAACCAGAGCTGTGCAGTGATCTGGTCATGCTCCTCCATTATCAGTCCCCATTACCCAATGCACGGCTGCCCTAAAGCCCTGGCACTGGGTTGTCCCTCACTGGGTGATTCCTGGGCAGAGCTCTGTGTGTTGTGGTTTTAACTGTTGACAGAAGGCACAGTCAGGAACATGTAATGGGGGCCATCTGTGCCCTACTTGTGCTACTCAGCTGGGCTGGGGGGGACCTATGCTGGGTTCAGGACAGAGATGCTGGTGCTGGAACCTGGCGTGGGGTGCATTGCAGGAGCTCTGTTCTCTGTGCAGTACTCAGTGGGCAGCCATTGTCAGCCCTGTGCCTGTGCACTCAGTGTGGGGAGCACACTTAAAATTGCTTCCAGCTTCGAGACCAGTGACATAACCAAAGGAAATGGTTTTAATATAAGGGTTTGTTTGTTTTTGTTTTTTTTTTTGTTTTTCAGGGTCAGCAAAAGGCCAGTTATATGGCCATGCAGACTGTTTACACTTTATCCTTTCTCCTTTTCTCTTTTTCCTGGTGCAAATGAGAAAGGGCACTTGCTGACAAAGGCTGTACGGTACCCTGGAGCAGAGCTTGGATCAGCATTCCTGAAACTGCACCTGAGCCTGCTTTTCCCAGGCTGAGCATGCAGTGATGGGCAGCACTGCTGGCACTGCAAAGGTAGTCAAGTGTTTCCCTCCCATTCAAAGCAGAGGTTTGGTGTTAAATGCCTGCAGGATCCTCTGCTTTTAAAGCCTTTAGTGAATCTCTAGCTTTGTGCTACCTGGGGTGTTTGCCAGGTTATTTCACTGGGGGGTGAAATGCTTCCCTCCATGAAATTCACACAGCTTCAGAGCAGACATGTGGGTTATAGAGCTCAGGCAGAAAATGGCCATTTCAGAGTGATTTCTTCCTTTTAATCTAACCCAACAGGAGAGTATGAGCTGTTGTGTCTGTGTCATCAATGTGCTCAGGGGTGGGCTGGGCTGTGCCTCCCCATCACCCCTAAGAACCCTAACTGAGTTGACAGTGACCTTTGTCTATTCTTCAATAGCTCCCAAATAAGCAAATTCATTTAAGAGAACAAAGCAAGAAGGATTTACCTTCAACTCCCTGCCTCTATCCTTGTACAGTATTTTTCCAGAAAAAAACTGCTTTTTCAGGACGCAGCATCCTCACCAGGGATGAGTGAAGTGCAAGCCAGCAAACACAAGCAAGACTGAAAAGCCTTCTTCAAGCGCAACACCGCTTCCAGGGCATACTTAAAAACACTTGTTTTTTCCCTTCAATGGAAGTCTATTTAATCCTCCAGCTGGTAAACAACCCAAGCTTCAGTGCACAGCGAGCTTGGGAAAGAAAGCTCCTGCTCGGTAGAACTTGAGTTTGTTGGCCTGTAGGAAGGCTCAACAGGGGAGGAAGCTCCTCTGTGTTTGTGTACATGTGTTTGTATAGGTACCATGTACACACACGTATAAACGCACACAAACATCACCCTCCTATACAAATATAACCACACTATGAACAGAATAGTACAATCATGTTTGCTATTTAATTATTCTGGTAACAAATTTTATACACATACTTATTACATATAGTCCATGTATTAACATATAAATATTACAATTATTTGAAATAATCCTATTGTACATTATAAAAGAATTGCTATTTACACTGTATATGTGTGCATGCACACAGAGATAGATAAAGGTGATGCTGTTCTTTATTTTTGCATCCCTGGGGCTCTGAGAGCTCCACAGCAGCTCCCAAGCCTCACATCACACCCCCCTGCCCTGTCTCAGCTGTGACTCAGAGGTCTGAATGCTGCTTCATGGTTCTCGGTTTTTAACTATTAATTTTTAATAGGCACTTGATGGGGGAGTTGCAGAAGGGAGGGTTCATCAAAGAGAGTTTGCAAGGTTGTTCCTTGCCTGAGGCCAAGCTGCGTGCGATTATCACAGCTCACTTGATTTACTCTGTTAGTCTTTGGGCTCCCACTGCTGGGGTGACCTTGGCTGCTTGGCCCACAGCTTGTCCTGCCCTGACCCATCACTGCCCTGGTGCAGAAGCACCAAGGATTACGCTCCCAGCCCTAGGTTGAGAAGACGTAGAGAACCACAGCATCATTAAGGCTGGAAAAGACCACTGGGATCACCGAGTTCAACCCCAACCCCCCCCACTCTGCCCACTGACCACATTACTCCGTGCCACATCTCTGTGGTTCTGTAACGTCTCCAGGGATGGTGACTCCAGCACTCCCTGCGCAGCCTGTGCCACTGCATCACCATTCTTTCAGAGAAGAAAATGTTCCAAATACCCAACCTGAGCCTGCTCTGGGACAGCTTAAGGCCATGACCTCTCATCCAATCACTTCGATAATTTCTTATCTGTTAAGAAGAAGGGATGCAGGAAAAGATAATTAAAAATAGAAGCCACTGAGAGAACTGGATTCCAGCACGAAGTCCCGCAGGTGTCACACCTGCAGTTATCCCCTCCTGTCACACGGTGTCCTCCTCGCTCCATCACCACCATTTTCTGTCATCTTCTGTCACTGTCACGCTGTGCTTTGGGGAGTGATGTTTAGGCATAAGGAAGGCTGAGGACGTGACCTAAATGCACTGGATTTTAACTGTAGAAAAAGCCCCAAAGTGGGTATATCCAAACGCATCAGCCCAAAGACAGCATGTCACAGCATGTCACAGAATGCAACAGGTAGGCTGCAGCCCTACTGTGCAAAGTGGGGACTTGCTGGGGATGCTGGGGACACGATGCAGAGGGAAGGAACACCCCAGCCAGCACCAGTCACCATCATGGACAAAGTCTGGTTGCTGGCTCCTTGCTGTCACAGCAGAGCTCTCCCAGCCAGCAGCATGCACACCCATAGGAGCGAGGATATATTTGTACCTGCCACTCAATGTGCCACCAGCTACCTGCAGAACATGGTATTCAAGAACACAAATCCATCCGAAACTCCATTCCTTTGTGATCCTGACCGACTCCAAATGACCAAGAACTTGTGGTGATTGGAACTATGATTTCTTTTCCAACACCAGGCAGCACTACCCAGGGACTGCAAGACTCCCGAGAACACAGAAGGAACACACTGAGCACAAATGCTGACAGTTGCAGCATGCATCAGCTGTTTCTGTGCTCTGAGATTCATCTCTAGAAAGGCCATTTCTGCAAAAGCTCCAGCTCTGGGAGAACCACTCAGGCTGCCAGCATCACCAACAATTCTATTTATTTCCTTTTCTTATTCAGTGCTTGCTAAACCCACTGTCCAAACAGCATAACCAAGGGGGGAATGTCAGCAGAAAGGTTCAGATCAGAATCAAGAGAGCAAAAAAGGTTAAGATGTAACAGCCAAAAGTTGTTAGATGAAAACATTATTTCTTAAAACAGTCTGAGCACACTGGGGTTTCATAAAACCTCCATTGTATTGCACTAATAAGTCAAGTGCTCGCAGCTGGGCCAGCAGACACACTACAGCAAATTCTATTACCACTGCGTTTATTTACTAAGGCAGCCACCTCGCCAGGGCTGAACAGAAAAGACTTTTTAAATATGGATTTAAAGAAACAAAGCTCCTAGGACTGGCTTGAACTTAAAACCCCAGGACCAGGTTTGTAATTTTCTTTTGTGTTTTGACTCCCTTCTGTTTCTTCTTCAAGGAGTGAATTGTCCGAAGCCAACCAAGCAAAGGGGAATTTTCCTCTAGATGTCTCTGTCTCCATTTTTAATTCTCTACTTTTTCTGATGCACATGCATAAATTCTCTCTCTCTCTCTTTCTCTCTCTCACACACACACACACACACACTCCTCCAGCCTTCCCAGTGCAACATCACCTTCTCTGCAAGACGCTCTTCCTCCATCCCTTTGTGCCAAGTGGGTGTACCTGCACCTGTGTTGGATGTATGGCTTTGCAAAACAATCAATACCTGTTTTTACATAATTAAGAGAAAACAAAAAACTGAACCTGGATTTATTGGACTTGACAAGAAATCCAGATGCACATACGCACAGATCGATGGCTCTGCTGCTGTTGTTCAGGAGAAATCGTTCCATCTCTGTCACTCATACCAGCTGCACATCTGCTTCTTCCTCCCCATTCACAGCATTTTGCATCCCAGCTGAGAGCACATGGAAGAAAAGGAACAAAAAGCCCTCTAGGCTCTGTCAGAGCAAAATGCAGCTTATGTTGCCGCCCTCCACAGCAATGGAGATGGCTCAGGAAGCAAGGATAGAAGGACAAGAATGCAGGAAGAAGGTGGGAGCAATTTGAAATGAACAAGAAAAACTTACATTATTGCTTTATTTCTGTTCCTATGTAAATCTCTGACAAGCCCCATCCTGCTCCCCAGGCTGACCCCAAACAGCCCAGTGAGGAACAGAAACACCCAAAAGGATCCTGCACAAAAAAGGACCCTTCTCAAGACTTAGATCTATAGAGGAATCTCTTAAGTCATAAGAAAAACCCCAGCCAAGGCAAACCTTCAAAGCCAGCAGCTTCCTGTACCCACTGATAAGTGCCAAAGTCAAGGGGTGGGAGAGAAAGGGAAGGAGAAACTCCAGCCCCAGTGTTCTACGGGGTGTTCTCCCTCCAGACCGTGCCTGAATGAGGCACACAGAACAGAATGTAATGGAGAGGGCATGGGGAGAACCGAGAGATGAGCATGGGTGGGATGAGAGGAGTTGTGGCAAGATGAGAAGTACCCAGCTCTCCCCACCTCTCTTCCCAGCAACTGCCTCATCGGATGCGGAGGTAAGAAGGGATGGAGTAATTGAAGAGCAAGTAGTCCATTTTGTATAAATTAAAGAGTCGTCTTTGGTAGAAGGGGCTGATGTCCTGGAAGAACTGGGCCGTCATGTCATCCGTGGTTCTGGTGGTCTTGGACGAGGACGGGAACTTGACACTTGTGTCGGCACCCACCAGCTGGAGGATGTAGTTGGCATCTTCGGCCAAGGTCTCGTACTTGCCCACCACATCGTAGTGGACGATGCAGGGGTGGCAGAGCGAGTGCACGCGCTCCCAGTGCTCATTGAAGGGCTCCTCCCGCTGAGTCCGCGGATCCAGCAGGTAGTAGACAAACTCCTCGAAGCGCACATCATCCCCGCGCTCCAGCGCCTTGTCGCTGGGCTCCTGCCGGTGCCGCCGGATGATCTTGGTCCCGTAGCGCTTGTGGAAGGCCGTGTTGTAGCTGCGGGTGAACTTGTTGCGGTAGGCTGAGACCAGGCGCTCGAATGGCTCCCGCACAAAGATGAACTTGAGGTAGCTGCGCAGGCGGTGGTTGATCTCAGGGATGCTGTATTCAGAGAGAGTGTGCAGGTTGGATGACACGTGGGCCTCGTTGGCAGGGATTTCCAGAGGATCCCGGTACTTGCCCTGCCCCGTCAGGACCATCATCACCCGCTTCCAGTTTGTGCAAGCCACTTTGGGCACGTAGCAGTAGAGCAGCCCATGCGTGTCATCCACCACCAAGTGCCGCAAGTCATCCGGCCGCAGCAGCCGCCGCTTGCGGGTGTAACGGTTGCAGACGTTGCTCAACAGCTCCCGTCGCTGCTGGTGAACCGCCTGCAGTGATGACTGTTCAAACTGTGGAAAAACAAAGAGACGGTCACTGGCTCACCCATGCCAATAAGGACCTACACACAACTGTTCCCATCACTTTCCCTTTCCTGGTGTTTTTTTTGTTTTTTTTTTTGGAGGGGGTTTTTCGTGGTCTTTTTGGAGACAGCAATCACTCTGAGCTCAACTTGCTTTAGTGTATTTAACGCTTGGACCTGCTGGGGGCAAAATAAAGAAAAAAAGTCTGATATGAGCAGGATGAGAAAACAAGCCAAGGGTGCGAGGGAAAAGCAGGAGTGCAGAAAGGGTCACAAAGTATTTGTTACCTCAGCCAACCTCAGCATTGGGCTGAAGCTCTTTTCCTTGTACCAGTCTGGCCTAAACCCCATGGGACAACAATGAAGTCCCCTTGCTAGCACAGGGTCCCACATACCTCCCTGTGAAGGGGCACTGCCATCTGACATCAGTGCCTGTGGGCTTGCTGTGAATCTGGGAGCCACAGCTCAAGGCAGAAATATGGCACGTAAGTGTGGGCATGCACAAAAACCCATCATGGTGTGCTGCAAAGACGGAGGGATAGGTGGAGGCAGAGCCTTCAGCACAGACCCTGTGGTGCAGACAAAGAACTGGAGGTGGTGGGAATACCCTTCCCGACCCCCTTTGCCTGAAAGACTTCCTTCTCCACACATGCCACTCCAATGTCTCAGCTCAGGGTGTGGTCTCCCTTAAGGCAAGACAGTTTAGAGATGTCCCCAAGTCATCCTTCTTCCCCTCTGCTCCTCCCATGTGATTCCTGCACCATGGCCCAGCAGCTGCTGCTGTGACCTCTCTGGAATCACCCCAGCTGAAATCACCCAGCTGATCCGGGGATGTGACTTTTCCTGTCTTGCTTTTCATCAGAAACTCCAGAATGACACTGTCACATCTGGGGAAGGAAACCATTTCCAGGAACTCAGAAGGGGAAAGTCCCCTCCTCCTGCTGCCTGCTCCCTCTGCCGTCTCCTCACTGAGAATGGCAGATTTCACACTCAGCGCCAAGGCCAATGTCAGGGACCTCCCAAAAGCCTCATTTTGTCCACAGATGCTAACGGTTTTACCCTCCTTTTCTGACCCCACAGAGCTGTTGCTCCAGTGCAGTGCAACAACCCCTGTGTTGCAAGACAACAGCGGCTTCCACTTCAGGCCACGCAGCTAGTCTAGCTAGAAACACATAGTTCCACAGTTGTCCCTACAGCCTGTGGGTCCCTCTGGCATCCAACACAAGATGAAGGGCAAGAGCAGGCCACCTCCTCAATTCCTGCATCCTTGCTGCAGGCGGCTGGCATGGCTTATGCATGCCAAAGGATGTTCTGTGCCAAGCTTCAGCTGCACCCTTTCTTCTCCCTGGAGGCTTGGATGGGGGTTTTGGGTGGCCACCAGAACATGAGAGAGGCAGCACAGGGGAGGTTGGATGCTCAAACAAACTGCTCACACCACACAGGATTCAGCAGTCCTTGCCTTTGGGGTGGGACTAAGACCTGGGCAAAAACCTCCACCTGCAAAGCCAACACATCCTACATGCCACCAAGAGATGATGTTGACACTGTTGGCAACCTGGATATGAGGAACGTTGAATCTAAGAAGGTGGTGATCATACATGAAGAGATGCTTTCATGGTACACCATGCTACTGAGCCAAACTTTCTGGTAGAAATTTCTCTTGCTAGGTTTTGTTTGGAGGCTGCCCTCCATTTTTTTTAGATTGGAAACACTTTTTGAAAGTGCTAAAAAAAACCCAAGCATTTTAACAGTGTGGTTTTTTTCAGGTGTTTTTCCCTGCACTCACATAATTCAAAACTATAGGAATGGAAATACAGACAGAAAGACAGACAGACACTGTCTGCAGGCATGGCAACAAATAAATGTGACTACTTTTCAAGAGCTGCCCACTGGAATAAGTGCATGTCTTTCAGTTATTTCAGAGCAAAATTGCTCCCTTAATTTCCTTCCCTTCTAAAAGCCAGAGAAATTAAGCATCACTTTTAAGGAAACAACACCAGGACATTCCAGCAGGATTAGGGTATGCAGGCATCATGGCTAAGGAAATCCACATTAGCCATTTTTCCCAAAGCAAACGTAATTCGGCTGCTTCATGCAGACGTGAAAGCACCACCCTAGTTTGGAACGCCGGTGTCAAGCATGGGGAGGGATCTGGCCCTGGCTGCAACAGAGTTCCATGTGGGCAGGGATCTACCAAGGTCCCATACCTCAGTGGGTACAGGCAAGATTATAGAGAGAACTGAAGCGACCCAGAATTATAAATGCTTCATGGCCAACAGTGACTTTATATACATACATAAATACATACATATATGTGCACGCATAGAGATCCTTGGAAGGAACCCACAAAGACCATAGCAGAAGTTTTGGGCTGACTGGTGCCACACATTGTGGAGGGGTGAAACAAAGGGTCATCCCACTCCCCCTTCACCCCAACTTCCTCACCCCATCCCCTCACCTGATCACTCTCATACAGGGCCTGGAGTGGGCTGCGACCGGACTTCCCCTGCCAGGCTGTCCTCATAGCCCCGTCTTCTGCAGCTGCAAAGGAAGAGAAAACAAAAATCAGAGGAGTTCGGGGCTGCCTCCCTCACCCTCTCCGGTGATGTCCAAACTGGTGGTAGAGGCCACATGGAGATGTGGTGATGTCCCCCAAAGAGAGGTGACCCCAAGTGGCTGTAGGGAAGGATGCTCAGCTATGCAGGGAGATTTATTTTTCTCCTCCCACCATAGACGGTGTTTCTCCATTGTCATTTCTACCTTTCACCTGTTCTCAAATGCTATCAACATGTTAAGTAGACTGTAGACTCTTCACAGGCTGGGTTTTAGTCAAAAGAAATGACTGATTTATATGAAGTAATTAAAAAACACAGCCACCAGCACAAAATTTCAGTGGTGTGGGACTTCTCAATGAAAATAGCTGTTGTTCCTCCCCCTTATTTTTTTCAATAAAATATACAGTTAGGATGCAAAAGGTCCAGACATCCTTTAAACACATGAAAGGCCATACAGAAAGAGAACAGCTTGTTCTGATTTCAAGAGCACCTGAAAACAGAGGGATTCACATCCACATAGCAACCTACAGGCAGAGCCAGGCATCACTCACACCGCTTCTGTTAACATGAAAGTTTCTAACACCAAGGCTTTTTGCTTCCAAATTCTGTCTTGTTTTTCACATGCTTACATTTTGCCTACATGAAAACTGCTCCAAAGCACAAAGTCACCCAGTACAAGCTCAGCATCACTCCTTCAGGCTGTAATTAGGGGAAATGCCTGGCTGAACTCACACGATTTCATCACCAGCACACTTGACATGGGAAAGAATGCTTCTTGTGGCATCACGGGTCACAACATGACTCAGTGAGGAGCTGTTCCTTCCTCACTGCCTTGTACCAGTTACCCCACAGGAGGGGGAAATGGCCTCAGTGCTAATGAGAGACAAGCGGAGAACCCAAAACTCACAGCCTGGGCTGGGGGCACTGAACCCAGCAGATCCCATTTCATATTTTCTTGCTTAGCTTTCTGCAAATTGAAAGGAACGGGATTGAACTCGCTGCCTGCATGGCCCAGCTGTGTGCAGAGAGCACTGAACTCAAGTGGGTTAGAGTTAACAGTGTGGGCACTGCATGCGCTGCTCCTACCTTTAGCAAAGGCAATGTGGAGGCGTTTGTTTTCAAGGTTGCCTCGTGCATCATCCAAAACTTTTCTGACAAGGGACATAAACAAGCCCAGGGTGACCTGAAGCTGCTACAAACGAGCACAACTCACACCAGCACAGCTCGGAGCAGTGTGGACTTGTGTTCATCACCCAGCTCAAAATCCTAGTTTGAACACAAAACCTCTTACCCATTCCGACCACCCTGTCATCCAATCCCATGCTGAGGTCTCTCCCCATTCTGTCCCTATACCACTCAGCCCAAGCACGCAACAGCCCACCTTAAGAAAACTAAGCCCCAGTGATCTACAGCAGGCTGAACTGCACAGCTAGAGAGGAAACCAAACACACAGGGAAAAGGCTTTTCTTCATCTGTGCCTGTCTCTTCCATTAAGTGTCAGATGCAGCCTGGACAGCAAGAGGCAGTTCATGGAAATGGAGTCTCCTCATCCCCTGTACCATCTGTTACTCATCCGTGGGATGCTCCTGGGATTCCAAGCAGTTTGGGAAGGCCAAGGAATATTGATATATATGACAGTGTCTAGGAGGGAGTATCACCAGAGCAAATTAATGGTTTGTGCTGCATTTTGGCACCAGGGCCCTGAGTACAGCAGGATCTTCCATCACAAGGGAACTGCCAAGATCTCTGCATGCTGCCTGTCCTCCTGACTTCATAGCTTGTTACAGAGGCTCCTGGATTCCACCACAGGCACTGGTAATCCACAGAAATTTAGCACTGCTGTAATTGCATCTGTAAGCAGAGATGTCAGTTAGCCAAAGCATATCCCATTTCTGAAGGGGACAGAATGTCAATCCCCAGCAACCACCTGATCACCATTTGTGTACAAAGACAGCAGACATCCCTCATCTGAATCCAAAATGCTTTTCAGTGAGACAGGCAGAAGGGAGTATTACATTTGTCCTTTGCAGCTTCAAAGTAAGAAGCAAGAAGGTAGCAGGGACAGAGCATCAAATCCCATGCTAAAGCAGTAACACTGATCAGAAATCATGGAGTGAGGAGAGGCTGAAAAGGAGCTCATTTTGGAGCCTCCTGCAGCCCAGATTTTTGTGCTAGCCCATCAAAACCAAAGCCATTCTCTTGCAGTGGTGTGACATCAATCACACAGCAGGATCTGAGCTTTATATGACTTGCCAGTTTTCTTTGGAAAAAGGAATGGATTTGAAAGCTGTGACTATTTAGGTGCACTAGCTGATTATGAAGGCAGTCATATGTGAGCTGAGCAGACACTGGATCGTGCCCATCCCAGCCTTCTGGAAGCACTAGGGAAGGAATTCACTCTCTTGGCTGCAGAGACTCTTAATTACAGAGGGAGGTTCTCAGTGTCCACAGCAGCAAATCCAGTGCCTGAATTTAAGACTGTGGCTGGGAGACAGGATTCAGGCAGTGACAAGCCCGTCAGTCTGACATCAGCATTACCAAGGCTAAAGGAAAGAGTCTGATGAAAAGAAAAATGATTAAAAATGGGAGTGCAGAACTGGAAAGGGGAATAAAATGTAGCTTGGCAGTCGCTGGGCACAGCTCATACCCATGCAACCTGAAGTATCAATAATGTAAGCAGTTTCTGCAGATAGTCACCCAGATACACATACAGCACGAGATACAGCTCACCACAGGAAATACGTACTTCAAAACAGAGAAGAAGCTGAAAAGGGGAACTGTAAGGGATACGAGCAGCTGGAAGGCAAGCAATGCTTGAAGGGGAAATGTTGGGCAGGAGGTGGATTTCTAGCATAACATCTCCTAGATCACCTCTGGGATCAATACTCCAGGAACAGATTTGGCATAAAACCAGAATGATACCAATGGCAGACAAAGCACTGAGAAAGTCTGCCACGGCAGGGAAAGACTGAAACACCAAGCAGGGAAATGGAAGCTTTGTCCTGGACCAGGGAAGCGAAAAATAAAGCAGAATTTAATTTTGCAGTGCTGGAATTTAGCAGTTTCTGCTACTTTGCTGCTGGAAGTGGCAGGAGATCCCAGATGCATTAGTTCACAGCTATCAGTTGCCAGTGTAACAGCGATAGAAAAGGCAAACGGTGTCCTGGAAGACATCAAGTGAGGTATTTACCATAGGAGCAAAAATAGAAAAAAGCACGAATGTCATTATCCACTGCATAGCAGTCTTCACTTGGAACACCAACAGCTCTGCCCTTGGTGGCCCATGGCAGCTCCTGAGCACAGAAAAGGGCAGTGAGGTGAGCAGGCTGTCCCCAAGCTGGGATGAGATGTTCCAGCCAGGGGGAATGGAACATGCTTCAGGGATGGGGCACTCACTCCAGAGCCAAATTTCACAATTAAGGGGAGGTTTGGAAACCCCAGATGAGTGAGACTCCAGCTGCAAAGAATCCCAGTTCCTTCTGGGGTGAGTCTTCAGGGATTTGGAAGGCTGGGTCCTTGAGCTACAAAGAGTCCAATGGTCCACTTGTGATATCCAATCCGAAATGGTGGTGACCAGCCCAGAAGAGCAAACACACCTGCTGGCAGGTGAATGTGCACCCAAAGAGTTGAAGAGTTACTCCTGACCCCACTGCTATCGCCTCGCTCTACCGCACAGCAGCAGATGCACTTCCTGTTGTGTCTGCACAAAACCTAAAAAAGGAGAAAAAATAATCGTGATGCCTGGTCACCCAAAATGATGGGTCTGCATGTTAATTACATCCTGCAGCTCCCCACGGGGGAGTGAGAAAGGCATGGGCAGTCCTTTTTGTAAAACGGGGAAACAACATCCAGAGATCTGCAGTTTCAAGGGACCAGCTTAGAAACACTTGCTTAAAGTCATGGCACAGGCTTCTGGAAGAGTCAGAAATTAGGGCCTGGGTCTCTATGGCTGAAGGTAGCTGCAGCAATGAGCTTCTCTGGACTTCGCTGTTTCTGTTCCCCCAATAGTACCCAACACAATATGCGACCAATGGCCAACACAACTCTGCTCCTTGGAGATGGGCTCCTTGCTACTCAAGTGGCTGCACCCAGGAGACACAGAGAAGGACCCCACCACCTGATTTAAGAGAGGATACTGAGACTGCTTCATTCAAAGCCAAACCCTGGCTGCAGTCACTGACTGCTGAAACGGTCCAATTTTCGGTTCTAGCATCCAAGAGGAAAAAATAAAACAAGAGAGAAAGTGAAAACAGAGCTTGTTATCCACAGAAGTCCAGCAGTCTGAGCTCAGTTTTCCCTCCCAGTCTGATAGCAAAGCCTGAGACACGCAGCTTGGATGGACACCTCAACTGTCTGAGGATGGACCAGAGCACTGGGGCCAAAAGATCGCATGCGGGAGCAGCCGCTGAGACCTGGGCAGTGGCCCACTGTCTGTGTGAATGGCCTTGGCTGGAAGGAGCAGAGCGACTGGAGCCAACAGAGCTGGTTGGAAAGAAGCTTAGTTCTAGGAAGCTCTGGCTTTTATACTTGGACTTGCACTGATGGAGAAAACATTTGCTCAATTTCCACCTAAGAACAAAGGGTGATTGTTGGGATTTTTAATTTTTTTTTTAAATAAATGTGATCGCAAACACCAAAACCCCAAATACGACTCCAGACCTACCGAGCTGATGACTCCAAAGGCAGTGACCACTGTTTGATGGAGACAAAGATCATGGGAATGCCCCTTTCTTTGCTTTTGTACTTGCTGCATTCAGCTGCAAAGTGTAGCAGTTCTGACTCTGACATCCTTATCCACCTTCAGAGTTAAGGGAACACTTCTGGGAATGAAAATCTAAACTGTTCCAATTGTCATTCTTACAGGAAAGTTTTAGAACACAATATTTTTGCTTCAGCAAAGAGGCTGAATCCAATTAGTGACCACTCAGATTTACTGCATCTAAAAAGCTGGAGATACAGACAACAGAGACTGAATTAAAACACTAG